CATGCAAATGCCACAAAGATAACTGGACTGTAAAGGTAACTTTCAGACCAATGTCCAGTTATTCACCTAATCTTCCACACATAAGAAAAGTTATCCACATCCACGCCAGCATCTTGTGAATTCCTGCCCATAATCCAACCTCTGAGCAGGTATAAGAAACATCTTTTTGGAAGTTTTCCATAACCTTTCTGACAAAAAATACTAACAGACATATAATTAAACACTCTAAAATCCCCTTAAGGGCAGTTGGGAGCTTGAGAACTCCATTTTGAATAGTATCTAACGTCAAACATTATGGCTTACTTTGATTGTCCTTCGCTTCAGCTTTTTAGTGTTTCCACTACTTTTTAAGGAATCTCTCACTGACATACTTTATGTGTAGCATATTTGGACTTTAACTATATAGCATTAATTTCTTCTTATTTCTGTCACTGCACTCAGTCTGATACACAATAAATGTGACATACAGTATGCTCGGACAAGACAGAAGACCATAAAACCACTACAGTACTCACACTTGAGCTTATGCTGCAGACCCTGGTTATGGGTTCTTTATTATCTTTTTTAGGGGAGGCAGCTGTAAAAGAAGCTTGTAAACATATAACATCTCTCATCAATCAGGGTTTTAACTAGTGGGGAATCAAGTCACTGTTACTGGTACCTGGGGGGTAATCTAAACTGAATATTGCTGCTCATCTTTCCACACGACTTAAGATGCATTGCTGTGTACTGTCTGTACAGTAAGTAGTAGGTGGAGTCAGTCCTTATAACTTGATGAAATTTCAGAAAGTGCTTACAGAGAAAGACTAAATAAATGACCTAAAAGAAAAGGTCTGGTTCTGGTGCTATAACACAGACTGTCTAAACAAATTCCATTGTAATGTTTTTTGTTGGGTGCTGAACAAATTTGTCATTTTGGTATAGGACAGTATATCTGTGTGATACAGTAATTACATGATTTCAGAGAGAGATTCATCAGAATTATTTTAAGATCCATCCATTTTCTAGACTGCTTCGTTCCCAACAGTGTCGTTTCGGGAGCCTGTCCCAGCTGACAACGGGGGACAGGTGGTGTACACCCTGGTCCATCGCAGGGCCACACAGAGACAAACAACCACACACACTCACATTAACTCCTAGGGGCAATTTAAAGTGTCCAATTAACCTAACATGCATGTTTGTGGACGGTGGGAGGAAGCCGAATTGTTGAGAAATGTACTGAAAAAATATACACATCCTGTCCCAACCTTCCTGTAAGTCAGGCTTTTACCGTATATTTAATCAAGATCACTATCTTATTCTAAACTCAGAGCCCTGTGCCTCGATGTAACCATAGAAGTGAGTAATGTAAACAATTGATATCTAGTATGTTTGTGTGTATAGGCTTATGTATTACTTGGAGAAGGTTTATGTAATCACAACAAAAATCTAAGTTCAGCTTTTTTGAGAAAAGGGTTAAAAACTAATCAGTTGATCCTATTTCACCTGGTTTAACTGTCAAATCTGAACCAGATTAAATATTGTGTGTGAATATTTTTTAACTCTGACTGTTAATTTTTTCCTTTTTGATAATCACATTTTTACTGATAATTTAAGTTGAATGTTAATTTTGTATCTGGTCAGTAATCAAATTAGTGTGCCAAGCATCAAGTCGATGAATTCCTGTAAGAATAACTTTGCAAGATCACACTCATGAGGGAATGCTTTTTACCAAGATCCAGGCTAACTATTTTTGTCCACCACACAAAAGTTTGGACCAATCACGTTCCTCTAATGATAGATTTTAGGTGTCACCACAATCAACAAAGATGGCAATTAAGTAAACCAGTTAAGTTAAGGTTTTGAGGCGAAGCCACACCTCAACCGCTCCTCCATTCATCTGGAAAGCCTTCCTAAACCTGCCGAACCCATTCAGCACTATTTTTGCATTTTCTCAACCCCATCTTTATTCTCCCTCAACCTTAGGACAATCACCAGATAATCCATCAGGAAACCTTTGTGTTCTTCTACACTCTCATCATAACGCCATGAATTACTTTTTCACTGAATCTTTATGGAGGTGTTGTTTTCTCTTTGATTTTATTTGGCAGCATGTGCATGCCCACGATGCTGTACACTGTGTGAAAGTCATTCTGCTTTAAGTTTTTTTTAAAGATGCATGTGTAAGTAAAGCTGAATTCACAGATCGTCTGTAAATTGCATGAACAGCTATCTTTTGTTTTTGTCAGATAATACTGCAGTTAGAAAAGCCGGATTTCATTAGAGAAGTTCACTTCAGTTTTCAGCAGCTTGAATCTAGTTGAGTACATGCAAGAGTTATTAGACTTCTTTCTGCAGTCTCCTGATCCTTTGGTCCAGCTTTCAGAGTTTGGACTGAAAACATTTGCAAATAACCAGCTTTGATGTAACTAGCGCTGCCATTTGGTTAATTTGTATGTTTCTGTAGGGAGCCATACAAATAAGCTCAACATGACTTTTCAAAACGGTTCTCCAAATTCTAGCAATAAATTCTTAGAGCAACTGCAGGAAGAGACAACGTTCTCTCAAAAACTAAACTGGAGAGCTTTTCTGCTCTTTGCTAAAGTAGTTTCCTAAATTGGAACTGCTGTCTACACTTTCACTGACACAAAGGATCTTTCTGCATCTTTCTGCTACTTACAGAGGAATGATACTTTTTTTGTGTGAAGTTCTCAACAGAAAAAAACAACTTTTCACCAGAATTTTAACATTTTCTGACAGTACTTTGGCAGTTTGAAACGGTATCCTCTGAAAAGTACTGAATGTATGAGGCCCCTGGGTGAGCTGGTGAAATACGATCCAGGAAGTTGAGTTGGAGTAACAGATTAAGGCTTATCAGACACCAAAAGACTGCAGTGTATTGTACTATTCACAGATAGGTTTTTACAACTCTAAGAAGTTGTCGAGCCAACAATGTTATCTTCAAACATGATGATCTTAAAGCATGACGCTGCAAGGAGAACAGCAGGGATTTTCTTCATGGAAGATTGCTGCTGATCTGATTGCAGCTGATCTGTTTTGAATTGGGCAAGCCTGTACTACTCTCCTCATAATTCAAATTTTTATTTTGCAAGTGGAGGGATGTGTTTATGTTCTTTGCAATAGTTTAAAGTCACACTGTAAGGTTTGTGGTATTATAGTGTTTTTGCATTTATGACTGAATTAGCACTCTTAAGTAATTTACACTTGCAAACTTGGTTCAACCCGGAGTAATAAATTCTGGTTAATGCTGTGTCTTGACTTCACAGAGTGTGCAAGTTATAATCTCACAGGATCATCTTTTTTCTCGCTCACAGGCACTACTTTTCCCTCTTTCACTGTTAAACACACCATCCTTCTATTATTGGAATACTGTCACGGAAACACACTCTGCTGTAATATAATGTAGTTTGATCCAGACCTCCCATTCATTTGTTTAGCTATAAAGGTCTATGAAGTTGATATGTGTTTACATATTTGTTCACCCTTTAACTCTTTTCCAGTAACTATGGGTGCTGGCTTGACTCGTGTATGTATGCATGTGTGTATGTGCTCTTCCCATTGCTGAATTACACAACTCTTTCCACCCAGGGGCCTGAGAACTGGTCTGATGTGACCTGATGATTTTATTGCAGCAACAGTCCTTTTGAGGACTCTCTCTCACACACACAAACTATACGCACACACTTACTTTCCCTCTGTGTTTCTGTCTCTCACTTCCCCCTCTCAATTTTTTTCCCCCCAACATCTGTTAATCTGCTCAGGGAATAGCAGCAGACAGAGTTTTCCAAACCTCTGTGCATTTACGTGTCATGCAATTCATCATCGGTGGGTCCTGGATGAGCATAAGTTCTATGAAAGTCAGACATCAACCCAAAAATGGACCCTGATCTCAAATCAGATTAGAGGTTGCTCAACCAGTAGCTTTGAGCTGGAAATAGGGTTATTACAGGTTTGGGGCTAAGGAGGTCAAACTTGACTCTGAGAGAAACAAACACTGACCCCTCCACTGACATCAATTCTACCCCCTGGTCTGTTTTATTTCCAAAAGATGTATACACTAAAAAATGACAGGCCGTGGGAATAAAACATTCCAAGTGCATTTGGATCAATTTGGGAAGTTTAACTAGTAAAATAGTAGATGGTAGAAAGGACTTCACATTATCCCAAGCAATGCCATCCCACGGCAATGAGCTCAGCACTGCTGAATAACTTTTGCTGTCGTCCTCTCACTGTTAGCATCTCACTGTATGATTCAGCTGAACAATGTGGCTAACCACCATGTTGACCAAAATTACTTCCTTGCACAAATAGAAAAACGCAAGCCATACTGGTTAGAGGAAGCTAACCAAACCTAACTGTTAAGTCTTATTTCATCACTGTACATAGATACAGGAAAAGAATATCGGAAGAACCAGATATATAAGATTGGCGCACCCAATTAACAACTCCTCATTTTTTGGTTTATAATGTGAAAAAAAAGAGATGCAAAGATAATATTTCTGACAACTGTTTGACAGACTGGATTCTGAGCAAATGGTTTTACTCCTGCTGGTCTTTGCTGCAGGCTTAAAAGTCAATCATGCATGGGGCACGGCTGCTCTGTACCAGTAATGTGTGTTTGTTAGTACAGGGCTGTCTGCAAAGCCATTAAAACCCCAACCCCTGTTTAGACCTCATCGTGCCCTCTGGTCTTTGTGTTTCCATCATCATTTCCATCATCACTGATTGATCATGACAAGAGACAATAATGGGCACACAGAGAAAGGGAATTCTCTCTGGCTACTTGTCAGTCCATATTAACTCAAACCAACACACCCACAAAACTGTGTGACTGTTTGCAATCCATTAATGAGGATGATTTTAAGAAATGGTTGCCCGACTTCTATCCATAGATGTGTCAGATATTGCAATTGCAAATGCTGAAATGATATCTAACATTCGACTGAGTCAAAAAGTTATTTAAAAAGAAAAGCGATTGAACTATTCTGTAATAATGTGTAAAAGATTTATTTACAGATTCAATGCAATTCAAATGATCTTATATGTAGTATCTACATCTTCATCTGTGTGCAACTTTCTGGGTGAACCTAGGTGACATTTCAAGTCTTTTTCAAGTTCTGCCTCTATTGTATCTAAAATATCCCCAAGAAAATCAACGTGGTATATTGTGAATTAGAGTTGAATGGGTCTGTCAAATTAGTGCAGGGACTCAAAATGTTTCTATCACATTTTAAATAACTGAGGACCAAGAGAGACAATCCAACTGTCATGCTAAAAGAGTATAAATACCTAGAAAGTGCCACCAAATGGGAAATGCAGACCTCTGTGTGATTTATGTCGACCATTTTATGAAAAATAAGAAAATAATGAGATGTCTGTGTGTTAATATGCCCTGAAAATAAGAGTAATAGCTTTTTGCCTGGGAAAGCTGTTGAGCACCAATCCCCGAGAAGGAGTCGTTGAATTTATTACTCCGGTAGAAGAAGGGGGGGGGGGGATCCTGTGAATGTGCCTGGAGGAAACAGGTGGGGCTAGTGAGATTCAAGTAAGAAAAATTATGTTTGCATGGAACCAAAACATTATGACAAAATGGCATTTAAAATGGCATTTCAATATGGCAGACAAAACCAGTGGATAATTTCATCTTTTCCTCATCTGGATTTAAATGTTTTCACAGATCTATTACATCTGATTATTTAAAAGCAAGGCATTTACTGGAGGGATTTTTATAGCTTAAAAAGGGCTCATACAGTTTTGCATGTTCTCTTTTTAATAACACTCATGATCAACAAGTCATATCAAACAACATAACTGCCAAAAAAAATCATCTAAAGGCTTGATGACTCTGACTGGACTAAATCCAAACAGTACAGGGATTTCAGAATTGTTCTCCTGACTTGGAGAAAATGAGGTCTAACTGTACATCCAGCCACTGTCATGTTATGACTTTTTCCCCTCCCTTGCCATTTTGTTCCATTGGGGCTTCGCAGTGTAAGAGAGCACCAAATCAAACAAAGACAGAGCACAGGGAATGAAAGACTGCAGTGTTTCAGGAGCACCAGAATCCTTTCTGCACATGAGAGCGCTTTTCAGCGGGCCCGGAAAGAAGTGTGAAAGCAGTGTGACAGGTAAGTTCATAGGGGATTAAGTTTGAAAAAGAAAAACAGTGAAAAAAGATAAAGAGGAAGGAAACTGTAAAAATTTAAATCATATTTCCTGCATTCGCTATAGAAAAGTGCTGTGATTTTACGGTGCTTTAGAGCGTCGCCTTTCAACATCAGTCAGACAAACTGGATCACTAACAATACTTAAACTAATTTGTTTATATACAAAAAAGGTGTCAAATTTCTAAATCATAAGGAAATCTAAGAAGTAGCCATAGCCTTACTGCTTCCATTGTGGGTAATGACCATACATGTCAACTCTCCTGCCAGAGTTACAGAAACAATCACTATATGACAAGTTGCATAACAGACTGAATCTGCTATTAATGTAAAAAAAGGAAAAAACTCATAAAAACCTGTTGCATAAGACTCACTCTCTTCCAGTATATTCTTTGATGTCCCAAAAATAATTTGAACCTGTTAGGGATGAAAACATCCAGTGAATGGCAGTGTGCTCATGGCTGATTTCCATCAGACTTTTTCCCTGCCATGAAGGTCCCCTCTTCTTCTTCGTCTTCTATCCAAACTAATAGATGCACTGAAAATATAAAAATAAGAAAAAGAAAATGGCCAATGCTGGCTGTCCAAAATAGAAAAGCTTGGCTCAACTTCTTTGTTCATTGACTTTCCATTGCAAATCCAACAGGCATTCTCTCTCAGCTCTCCTCTTCCCTGACCACAGCTATGGCTTTGGATACAGCAGTGAGTCTGTCCTTTTTCCCTTTGTGTTTGAAGATAATGCCCACTGTTTGAAGTGAAGGAAAGTGAAGGCAAGTTCAAGGAAAAATCCAGCTTGAAAAAAACTATCAATTCAAGGTATCACTAAATGTATGACGACAAACATGTAGGTATTTGGACTGAAAAGAAGAAAAAATGATCTATCGACAATGGAGAGACTGTCATTTTAAAGAGTATTTGGTAGAAGATTTACAGCACAAAATAAGTCTCTTTAAGTCTCCGTCTAGTAGCTACAGTTTTGTCTCAGATCGCTCCTTAATGCAAACTAGAAGTAGGAATAGATTTCGAATGAGAATTTTTAAGATCTTTTAGTTTTGGGACAGATTTAAATTTTACAGGATACATTTTAAAAAGAATTGCAGAACAGAATTGGATGAGTGGGGATAAGTAACAACAAAGGATGTCAAGTTTTTGTTTGGAAAATCTGCTTTCTTTGAAATATGCGACCTTCAGCGCGGTGTCAAAATCAGATCTAAGCCAAGAAGCCACAGTGTCATTTTCGGTATTTGTCACAGCTCGGGGTCCAAAAGTCATTGCACAAGGGCTTGGTCTGTACCTACTGAAATCCTGCCAGTAAAATCTGTCCTTCATGTCCTCTCAGCTACATTTGCAAGACTTGACAATCATATTGGAGAGTTGCTCCACTTTAGGGGTTCGTCCAGAGTAGTAGAGTATAGTGAGGGGTTCCAGGTCTTGGGGAACACAGCAGGGGGAGGCGGATGCCTCTGGATTCAGAGTGTTGTACAGGCTCAGCAGCTGTTGAAATGCAAACGGATAAGAAAGCAAGTTACAAACTGTATTTGCAGTTGTACTGTTAACTAAAACAGGATAGTATCACACTTAGTTTATTTATCAGCAATCAGGCATGGAGAGTCATTCTCTGTCACACACCGAATGTGTTGTGGGACGTTAGCATTGTCAGACAGTATTTTTTTTCAGCTGATTCAACTTGTTGAAATGCTGTCTGGATTGTGGTTAGAGAGCTAACTCAGCAAATGGGGGCACAAGAAGGGAGGAAGAGCCAATGACAGAAGGCATACGACTAACTTTGTCAACTAATCGGTTCTTCTTACCGAGCTGTGTGTCGTGTCTGAGCTCCTTAGATAAGGGCATGGTCCAGAGCAGTAGTTGGCATCGTACCCACTGGGCTCATGGATCCACTTCCAGTCTAGATCACGCCGGAAATCAATATGGAGCCGGCGAACACAGCAGCTCTTCTCCATGTTTCTGTCACGAGGACAACACAACAATGTGAACAGCCAAAATTCTATTTCTAGTGTGTCCTAAGTCCCGGGTTTTGATTTTGATGGTTACATGCATAAGTGACTATGAGCTAGAGTAGTCCTTACGAGAAACAGTAGTTTGTGTCCAGCGCTCTTTTGCGGCGGCGTGTGGACTGAGTGTCCAAGCGGTGTGGTGGGATCATCATCAGAATGAGGTGAGGGAGATTTTGTTCTTTTTTCTTCCATAGGTGGTCTAGATCCAAGCGGCTGTAATCGTCATCTCCATCAACCCCTTCCAAGTCAACAATGAGACAGGTGCACGGTAACTATCAGTAACTGAAGATGTCAATCAAGGTTGTATATAGATCTGTGGTACAATCAACCACAGTATATGACATGCAGCTTACCTTTAAACTTCACCTCCAGGACCTCGCTTTCATTTTCAATGATGTTACTATTTGGATTGAAGGTGGTGCAGGGACAGTTCACACTGATTTCCAAACCTCGGTTTGATCCTAATGGCAAACCACCATGAAAATTCAAAATGAGATTCCGATGTGAAAACAGTTCTTGATCGTTATAAAATGAGGTAACCTCAGTCTCACCTCTATTCATCAGCCATTCTCGAACTGTTTCTGTCACATCAAAGGAGATCCACTCTTTTGTACCTTTGGTCAGTACATTCCTGGCTCCAATATAGCGTTGTTTCCGAATGTGTTCATTTGTCCTAACAATCTGAAAGACGGTAATGAACAGTTGCTCTGAAAGGTGGTCTTGCTTTCACAAGACAGTTGGAAAAGGCTTAACTGTGATGCTGGTAAACATGATACTGCTTTGTTGCTCCAATGTTATGGAAGGGGTTTATTTATTGAGTCATGCAGCTGGAGAGATGGTTGACTAAGATAATGCACTGCTTGTTTTACAAGAGCAGGGAAACCTATTAGTGGACTGCTAGTGGACATTTCTTATTAAAGTCTAAGTTTATATATATCATGTAAAGGCCAAAAGGGAAAAAAATACAACCAGCAGAATGTTGATTTACCTAAAAGATTTTATTTTAAAGCATTTGTCTCTTTCTATTTGATTTTCCTTATTGTTACTGATCAAGGCAGAAATTATATGAAGAAGGTATGAAGCAGCATAAGATGTGCAGCTGTAGAAGGCGTAAAACTTATGAAATTATCTCTCTCAAACTTTCATGTATCTCATGACAGGCTTTGCCTTTTGGTATGGGTAAAAAGACATGGAAACGGTACCTTTACGCACCTGGTAGAGCTCAATCCGCTGCTCATTCCTCTTGGCACTTGAGTTTGGAACCCTCAGGGCTCGAAACTCTGCTCTGAAGAGGTTGGTTGAGTTCCTCTCCATGGAAGAGACATTGAAGCGGAAAACCTTGGAGGTGATGACTTTTTGGCAGTAGGCCAAATCATCTGAGAGAAGAAGAATAAAATAAAGTGTATGTTAGAGAAAAGGCTTTCATAAATGTATCTGAGAGCACAAAAGAATAACTGGCCTATCACCACAGATTGATTTGGTACTCACTGATAGCTTCTTACTTTCAAAGTTTTAAAATAAATCATTTTAGAATAATATCCATACATCTTAATTTTGGTCTATTTATTATATATACATTTCTAACTCAACAGCTGAGATTGCACAACAAAGAGCTGCAGCATCAACGAAGTAGCAGCAGATATTTGTATTTAAGAAAAGAGATTTTGTTTAAACCCAGCATTTGTAGAGGGAATATGTTTAGATTAATGGTCCCTATGAGGGAAATTAGCTGTCTTTATATCGTTTGACTCATTTTCTTTTTTTTTCTCCAGGTTGTTAAATATCTCATTGACATTTTTGAGTTACCACAAGTAACAATTACAATGCTTTTCCTTTCTTTAGTTTATTGAGAAATCATTGTTTAATTCTTGTGCTATTGTTATTTTGTGCATATTCTTGCAGGATATACAGAGGAGCTGATTCGGGTTCAGTTGTTCCTCTTAGGGAAAGATCACAGCTTTACAGCTTTTTGGGGCTTTTCAGTTTTATTTAGCCCATTTTGGAAAGGAGCCATCCTGATGAGATAGTAACCTCCTTTCTATTACATAAATAAATCATTTTAGTGTTTGACAAATGTGAAAGTTATTCAAATCCAATGCTGTGGCCATCATAAAAACCTTAACATAACCCCTGTGAATGACCTTAGGTCAGCGTGTGAGACACCACCCTCCAATGACTCCATTCTTTTAGAGGAACCAGCTCACTGAGACTGTTCTGGCATCATCCTTATACTGGGTTTTTCCTTTCATTTGTCAAACTACATGGAAGCCCTGAGAGCCCATTCACAATCTAAAGTTTAATCTTAGTTTTACAGACTGTTGATAGGTTGGCACTTTGTTTTTCAGCCTCATAGTGAATAATTACCTTCTATGTTCCTTATCAAAATTCCTTAGTGTTTCGCTAATACATTTAGTCTTTATTCAGAGGAAATGAAAATGTTGTAATTGAAATAGCAATATTATCAATCGTAGTATGACTTCACCCCTATGGTATCTATGTATCAAAGGGTTTGCTACCCTCAGTGCCAATGCCAACTTTTTGGACCTGCTGCCTTTGTTGCCATGACAACACATCCCAACCTCAGACACTGATGAATGCCAGATTCAAATTATGTGCACCATGCTGTAGAAGGAGATCTTTCTTACGTTTACTGACCAACTTTTTTTATTGCAATATTCTACTATATTTCTTTCTACCCTTTATTATTTATTTGCACCTGTCACACACCTGCAACACATTTGGCAATAGTCTGAAATAAAAAGAAATATATGTCTGCCAAATATGATTGAAGAGAATTAATTTAAAATCCATTAAATGTGCAAATTTCAGTGTTTGAAAGAGAAAGAGCTGAGTAAAACCAATTAGGCGTTGTACAGCACCAGCTATGAGTTAGTAAAATATTTTGCTGCACTTGTGTGACAGTAAAAAATCATCTGTAAAACCGATTTAATAAAAGTATCTCCTAAAGGACACTTCAATGTAAGGTTATGTCATCAGAAAGCAACAATGTCCTCCGATGGAAAGACTTCAGGAGTAAATGATAGAAATATGGACTACAGTGCATGCAACGCCACACATGTCTGCCAAGCGTTCCAGGTGGCAATATATAGATCACCTCTGTTCTGGAAGCATGAGGGAGGTAGAAATATACCAACAAAGTGTATCATAACATCACTTTATTCAAATTATTCAATTTAATGAAAAGCCCCAAAAGTATTTAAACTAAAGTTTGAAATTGAATCTCGACAACAACAACATCCAACTACAATGAAATCCATTTTCAATATGATTAAGTGACTAATTGTTTTTCACTGTTTTATAAACCAGGAACAAAAAGAAAGTCAGAAAACGTCATGTTTAGTAGCTCCTTCATTTGCCCACTCTTAAAGAGTAAAGTACTTTAACGGTCACAGATATATGGTGACACTAGAGATGAAAGATCTGTGACTGGGATAGAGTGGAGTAAAACGGGGACACAGCTACATGTATTTAATGCTGTGTTTTTATCATCAGACCAGTCAAACTTTGAGGAGTTAGTTTTACAAACTGAACTTTTTTTCGTTTCTTTGGTAACATGACATACAACATAACAACGAAACATTAATCCATTTTTCATATCTTCACTTTTAGAGTTGCAGTTTCCCTGCTAGGGGTGAACAAATGCACAACTCGGCACATATGAGAGCTGATCATCTTACCTGCACCAGCATAAGAAAATCACATTAATTCATCCTTTGTGAGAAGGCTTAGTGTATGCATGTGAATGTACAGCAAGGGCATTGACTAAATGCATATTTGTACGTATGAGATCACATCGGAGTAATTGAACAACACTCTGCCAAGCAAATACGACAGTTTGTTGATACTTTAAATACCTCAGTAACAGAAGTGTTGTGTGTGCTGCGCATACAGTGCGTCCAAATGTGTGGGTTCAGCTCATGTGTTGCTTTGTTACATTTCTGTCACAGTCTCTTTCTCCTTCTCAGTTAAACACTGAAGATTAGGCCAAGAAAAACTAAAGTCATCATCCAACCTTCAGGAAAAGTGCATGCATGTAATTCTGGCTTACATTTCGTTACCTGTGGTCAGAAATTAAGCACTGTGTCAAGGAGCCTATCGCTTGGTGTTTTTGTCAAAACTGTTTTGTGAGATTCAAAACAGAACATATCTGAGGGGAAATCAGCCTTTTGAGAAACACCTGTTGATTTCAAAGTGACTGTGATGCAATGGCTTGGCTTTGCGTTGGAGCGTGAGCCTCTTTTTGGCTCTCGCATGCACAGCATTTATCCCATTCTGCTTGTCGGTCAGACGACACGACGCTTGAATCTTGTTCAGGGACAGACACGCGTCCCTCTCAGCAGGCTTTCCACCTGTAGCTGCTGACTGTCAATCTGTATGGGCAACATCGATGTGCCACATACAGGTTTAATGCTCAAAGTGAGAAGATTGGGAGCTTATACAGCTTTTACTGATTATCTCAACAATTATGTCGAATCCAAAGCAAAGCCCATTATAAACAGAGCAGTGAAACACTACCTAGTGTTATTATATTGGCAATAAAATCAGTGCATAATGGAGCCATTCAGGTTTAAGGCTCAGTTTCACACTCAGTTTAGCTAAGTTAAACCTGAGCAGTGGGGTGATCTCACTCTCACAGGCCACCTGCATGTGTGATTATCTAGCCAAGATGTACAGTGTGGGTCAGTTTGAGCTCCACCTTAGCAGTTAATGTGAGGACTATATTCCTTCTGTGCGTACTCCAGGGGGAGAGAGGTATCCCTCTTTCAAGGCTCATGGGGAGGTCCCCTCATTAATCCCTCCCTTCCTGTCCACCTCTCTTAACCACCTACTCCTTCCCCTAAAGGCATCCCCATCTGCCTGGGCAGATGTCCCTCTCATTTGGGTCTGACTGGAAAGGAAATGGGAACATCTGGGAAGAGGGACATGATCCATAGAGGGAAAAAACAAGAGGTAGAAGAGTGAAGTTGGGAGTGGGAGGGGACTGGCTTTCCTGGAACACAGGTTCAGAATTAAAACAGGTTGGCCGGCAGGACAGAAATAAAGCGAATCCCTCTCACGCACAGCAGGTTCATCTTTCAGTTTAAAAAGAGCTAAGCAGCAGCAACACATTTGTCTCTTAAATGTTCATTCATTCACACACTGAAAGTACAAAGTGAAGCTCTATGTATGCTATACTCCAGCACCAGCAACGACTGTATTGGTGGGTGGAATGGCTGACAAACTAAGGTTTAAAAGAGTACATACTAAAATATTCTAGGAATTTTAAGGAAATAAATCAGTTCAGCGACGGATCTTTGCCATTCCATAACGTAATATTGTGATGATTTATCTACACCTAATGTCATCCTTGTTTGATTATTATCATCTTTGTTAGGGTAATGTCAGAATGAGGGCATGCAACCTTCAGTTGGCGCGTAATTGCGAACTTTGGAGAAAAGAAACCTGGAGAAATGTTCCCATTTCGCAGCTTATTAAAGGGAAAAGAAACTTACTGCTTTCTGGCGGTCCGGTGAGCATGTTGAATCTGTATATTTCTTTGGCATAGTACTCCGTCTCTGTGTTGTCCTGACCGCAACTCTGCTGCCGATCCCTCCCCAGCTCCTCCAGTAGCTCCTTGGTGCTGTTATACAGCGCTTGGATTTGATAAGGGATTTTACTCGGTCCAAGAGACTGCGGGGGACTTGTCAAGCGGAGTTTGCTCAGAATCTGACCTCGAATCGCCTCGACCCGTTTCTTCGTGACATGGTCAGAATCCACGGTGGCGCAAGTTGACAGGGATGAGCCTAGAGGTGCGCAGTTGAGGAGGAGGACAAACAGTAAAGCCTTGCTCAAATGCATCTTTCTGTGCGCATTTGGTTCGTTCTGGGGCCGAAATGTGAATATTCACAGCGAGGACTGCCAAAGCTCCGTGTCAATTACACTTCAAATAAAGCTTAAACACCCTGCTGAGGTTTCTTTGTAACCTCCTTGGAAACTAATGACAAACTCCTGGTTTAATTCGTTTTCTTGTTGCAGTCCTCTTTGTTTTCAGCGGAAATCCGAATTTGTGTTCTCCCATTAGTCATCACTCAACTGAAAATCTCGATCACTCTCCCACATTTATGAACTTCATCCGGTGCAAATATCTGTGAAAGTAAAGATTTTTCTTTTTGCATTCTTGTGCTCAATCCAGCAGAGCTAAGTCGTCCCACAGCTTGGCATTTTTCCCCCTTCTTGTCTGAATCATTCAAGTACAGAGCGCTTTTATTGTCTCGGAGAAGGAACACCGCAGGCTGTCATGTTAACGAGGTATATGCGACTCTGAGCAGTGGACGAGGCCTCATTTCGGCTTTATAGGCGACCGCTCGTTTCTGACGTTTGATGGAGGAGGGACCGCAGGAACCGTGGAGCTGCCCAGATCAGAGCAGCAGGGCCCAGAGCAGCCTGCTCATCAGCCCTGACATCACCACAATGACCAATCACAAACGGCTCGATCAATTAAAAACCATTGAACTTTTAATTCAACTCCAACTTTGAATCTTCTGCCAACGTCAGTCGTGCTAAATGAGCATCACTGCAGGCACTTTTGGGCTTGAATTCCTTTTTTCATATCGGATTCCAGTTTTGTTCTTGTGGTCCTTGTGGTGTTTTGCAAAAAATCCTACGAGGGTATTATCACTGTTAGTCCTCCAGATGTGTCAGCTGATGTATTTCCTTTGAACCTACGTATCTGTAGGCGATATAATGTCCTGAGTACTGCGTCCTCTAGTGGCAAAAATGATCACCTGCACTTTCGCTATTCATCCGTTTGTGTGAAAGCATCTCAATAATTTCACCCAAACCCTTGAGATCTGATCACAAATATAACAAAAACAGCTGAACAAAACATGAGGATAGAATATAATGTTTCAGTTAGGCCTTTAGTTTTCTCCCTTTGATGTTGGAGTCTTTTTTTTTTTTTTAAACACACAATGCAGGGCAAATCCTGTTGTCTGACGCAGTTCTCATGTAACACCCTTTCAATCTTAACATTTGGGCCACACAATAGTATATCCCTTCAAAAAGAGCCCGCTTTAATTCACTGTCACTGCAGTTTCCCATGCCCTTCATAAATTACCGTCAACACAAATTCAATCATTTAAAAATCTTTTATGATGCCTGAATGTTTATTTACAGGCTCATAATTTATTTGATCTTTTCCTCCACCATCTGTTTTATCTCTATTCATAGACCATATTCACATTTCTCAGACCTATTTTAGGTCAGAGCCTGCTCAGAGGCCCCGTACCCAAACATGGCGTCTGGCATTTCGGTGTGTTTCTTTTGCCTACCAGTTTGCATAGCAGGGATGATTTCATATAATGTCCAAACTTGGTAAATACTTGTCATCAGTCATTCACCCAGGTTCATGTATGCGCTGTATACAATCCTACTTGATTTATCTTGCTGGTATGATTTTGAATTTGAAGAAAAACATTCAAATCAACTTATGCATCATGTATTCTGTGTCCGTTGTATTGGGCAAGTTTAAGATCACTATTTTGATTTAGATTTTTTTAGTTCCTGTATTGAGTGTTATAGGAATGCTAAGTTATTCTGAGTCACAGTTTAGAAATGCGTATGATTGGACTTCACAAAAAGTTAAATTGAGCTCTTATATGGGGTTTAAGATTACAAATATTAAAACCCAAGCATCTACATATGGCCTTGGTATGTTTCTCTCTTTCTTTTCTGGTTATTGTTTCAAATGCGTTTCTCACAAATTCACCTTAAGTTTTGGCTGAAAGGTCCTCATTCATAGCTTGGTATGTTTAGTTGAGAAAGAGCAATCAAAATCCAAAAATTGCGCTTAAAAGCGTATTTATTTGATTCAAGAAGGAGCACAAAATTAAATGTCTTCATGGTCATACATACGGATGTTATTTTAAGACAGCCACCAATGTTTCTGGTTTCCTCTCATCCATTTCCCACCATCCATCACACATGTTGTTGCTCTTGATCATCTAATCAATTGTGAGCATCATTTTAACGAGGAGTTTGAGATATCTGTGAGCCACATTTGTAATTAACAATGATGATTATTTTCAATCAATAGTTTATTTGACATCATATCCTCTTGAATATGTTATTTTCCCCTCCTAGTACCTTATTTAGATTTAGTCAGGAAACATTACATATAAAAATGTATAAATATTGAACCATTTGCTGTTTTGGCAACATTAATGTCAGCTCAGCTTGCTGCTCTCATCCTTTGGCAGTTCTCCATTAAGCCAGCAGGTGATGCTGCATAACAGACAATATCTGTCAGTGTGAGTGTGTGTGTGTGCGTGTTTGCACTGGAAAGCACCTCTAGGAACACATTCCCAGTTCTAGAAAAACTACATGTATTTGCCATTTTATGAGCAACACATGTAAAACATAATACTATCTTAAAAAAACAGAACGATAAATTCTGCCTCATATGAAGATACCACATTTAGTGGTAAATTTTAATCTTCAGATCTAGTCTATATTCATAACATCTGAATCATCGTTCTTCTCAAAATACTCCTGTCTTTTTTATTCTTGTCTGCTTTGATAGATTTAATCGCACCAGTTTAATCTTCATGGAGAAATTTTGTCATAGAGTCTGAGGTCAGTGCCAGAAGGCCGTGTACAAAATGAATGGAAGCAAAAAGGGGGGAAAAAATCTGTAACATGGTCTGAAACATTCCCGTAACATACTCCGCAATTAAACATATACACACATTGTAGTATTCCAACCATTTGGGAATTCCTAGACATGATCCCAGACATCATCATCAAAGTCCACTTTTACTCCAAGCGTCCTCCAGTGATTACCTCACTGCTGGGTCAGGTTTGAATGAGTCACTCTCCGGCAATCTCTCCGTCTCACACAGCACACGGAAAAGGAATGCAGCTGCAGACCAGAGGATGAAAACAAAAACACATGCCGTTATCCACACAAAAAAATCTGTCCTCCTTAGGTGAGATTCCCGATGATTGGACCAGTCAGAGAGGTTGTGGCAGCTGAAGTGTTTGACCCCTGCTCGGAGGGCAGTAAACGCTGACTGTAGTGGTTGAAATTTTTTTGCTATTCCTCTGTCGAGCAGACAGACTGACCACACGTTCATACAAACACACACACCCGCACCGAAGAATGGCTAGACAAAGTCAGACAAACTCCAAACACTAAGCGGTTTCCTGCCAGATTTCCCTACTACAGCACACTGACAAGCCAGCGCAGTAAAGTCTGCCTTGTCTGGGGGTTACAGGTCTATGAGTCATACATGGGGAGGTAGTTGGGTAGGAATGCTGACAGGAGACCCCTAAAACCCACACTAGAGGAGGCAATGATGTGTATATGTCACGGCCATTCAAGTCAAATTATTCATTTGATTCGTCCACCATCTGTGTTAGTCATCAGTTGTCTTAATACATGAACATAGGAAAGGAATACCATGCCGGCTAGACGATGACTTAAAGTGAGATCATGTGGTGTCAGCAAAAGTTGGTCACTCTGTCACTGTTTTGTCTGAGATTTAGTTTCTTTATCTTAGCTTGAAGATTACAATCGCTACGTGACTGTTTTTCTTCGGAGTTAAAACCTTATCAGTGATTTCTTTAGGTTTTGACTGTGAAAGACTGATTAGCATATGCTCAAATGTAAACATTTGCTACTGACAAATGATCTAGTTAAAGTCCTCTTTACTGAATAAGCAGTAAAGCACGCCACATTGAGAACAAATAATATCAGAGAGCATAACCAGGACAGTTACTCCCTTTTGTTGTTCTGTGTTTAAGCTTTTCTAAATAGTTTCTAATAGTTTCCTTAAACCTTGCCTTGCTTGGTCTTTGTGGTCTTGTTGTATTGCATTGTCTCCACTAGAGGGCAGGAGCCTTTCAATTAAGTTGAGTGACGGGCAATCTTGACATGGACGATGTTTAGGGGAAAAAAGTTTTCATTTGCAGACAAACAGAGCAACATCAACATCCACCAGATGACCACCAAACACGGGTAAGTCCTCTCTACCGTGAGTGTAGTCAACTCATCTCAATAATCCACTTCTTGTTAGTTTTCTGCTGTGCAGACACATCCAGAGCCAAGATGAAAAATGGAGGGAAACAATCCTGTTTTAACAAGTGATTTGCAAAATAAACAAAAGTAGAATACATTATGCATGAGTTTATCATGACAGAGAAACTACTGTTTTTTTTGTGTGTTCAGCCTAAATATAGTGTATGTAGCGTGTTTCAGATAGATGTTGCTGTCAACAAATGACAGAACAAGTTTTTTAGGGTTTGAGCGAAAAAACAAACAACTTGTACTCAGTACTCAGGTTAATCTGGGATATAGGAAAAGCATCATGAATTATTTTATTTTAAAATTTCTTGTATTTCACAATGAATGATTCTTTAAACCCAGCATTCAAAATGCTTTTAAACAAAAAGGTTAGGTACAAAAGAATCCCAAGAAAATGAATGCAAAAATATTTTCATGTGCATATGGATGTTTTAAAGGAAACTCGATTTTTTCTGTGCATAGAAATGAATTTTTTCGGTTGTTATCCTGGCCGGTCTGGCTGTCACTCTTGCAGCAGGGTTTCTGGCAGGACTTTGTGACGGCCTGCCTCCATAAGATGGCATATTGCTGCGGTCTGATGTCACAGAGGTGAAGACTGTTCACTTTACATCTGGGTCTAAAGGGGTGGCGATCTGCTGACTAAAGGCCTTTTCAAAAACAGAGGACAAAGTGTCATTGGGCCTCTGCATGAATTTGAAATAGCGGTGGCCTCTGTGTTGATTCAGAGTCCAAACTGTCAAAGCTAAGGCTAAACACTCTTAGCATTTTAAAATTAGCACTCTGTGTGAGTAAGATGGTTGAAAGATGCTGTGCTCAGTGGTGTTTGTTGTGATTACTAATGGCAGGGCTGGTGTGAATGATTGATGGCACAAGCTGTCGATTCCAGTTATGATTCAGCTCGGTTTAAGCATGTTACTGAGCCATGTGGGATTCATTTTTCTGACTTTCTTCAGTTTCAGCGTTGTTGTTTTTTTTTATTTTGGCCAGAGACTTCAGCTCTTAAAAACTACATTCACCTTCGAGCAGATCAAAGGTAATCAGAATGACAAAGAATAAGGAAGACAAGCAGAACTTGAGGTCCTGTTCTACGTTGATATCCCAAAGGAATGTGAAAGCCAACCACATCAGGACTTTTTCCACTTCCCTTCAACTTTCAACCCCCCACACCCACAAACACTGAAACTTTGTATTTTGTGGAAATTATTCTTTTGGAATCAGGACAGCATCACAA